CGCTGGGAGAAACAGCCGGAGGCCAGGGTGTCCCAGCAGATGGAGCAGATTACCATGCAGCTGGACCTGACTCCTAGTGTGTGGGAGGAGGGAGAGGAGGCAGCTGCAGAGGGTGGTGATAAAGAGAAGGTGCAGGAGGCACCTGCTGGTGGAGGTGATGGTGTGGAGATTAGCGGTAGCACTAGTGGAGCTGCTGGATCCGAGGGAGGAGAGCAGCAGCAGGGGAAAACTAAGAAGCCGAAGGGTGTTATTATGAAGGGATGGGAGACACCCGTCTCCAGGCCAGGACGTACCCGTATGGCTACTAAGAAGCTGACTGCAGGAGCTGATGTAGCGGAGCAGCAGCTTGGGACCGAGGAGGCATTGCTGATTCTACCGCATGGCTATGACCCGGATGAGGAGGATCAACCTGCGTACTGTTTTCTTGCCCCTGCACCAGAGGAACCAGCTAGCATAGAGGAGGCATTAGCTGGACCAGATAGGGACAAATGGCTAGCTTCCAGGGATGCTGAATACCAGAGCCTGCTGGAGAATGGGACTTGGGAACTAGTGGTGCTGCCTGAGGGAAAGAAAGCGGTACAATGCAAGTGGGTGCTAAGGATCAAGACTGACGACAAGGGGCAGGTCACCATCTACAAGAGTAGGTTGGTGGCTAAGGGGTTTATGCAGAAGGAGAAGCGGGACTTCAATGAGATCTTTGCTCCCACTGCCAAACCCCCTACCCTTCGTGTCTTGTTGGCAGATGCAGCCGTTAGTGGGAAGTTCATTATCCAGATGGACATATCAACGGCATTTCTCAACGGGATTTTAGAGGAGGAGGTGTTCATGACGCAGCCACCTGGGTATGAGGATGGTACGGGCAGGGTGTGCAAGCTGAAAAAGTCCATCTATGGCTTGAAGCAGGCGCCACGCTGCTGGTACCAGAAGTTGGCAGCTGTTTTAGAGGAGATGGGATTCAGGACCAGCAGCTGTGATGAGAGCCTCTTTCTCAAGGGGGAGGGGGAGAAGCTGGTGCTGTTTCTGGTCTATGTGGACGACATTCTTCTCTTTAGCAGCAGCATGAAGGAGATCCAGAAGGTGCAGCAGCAGCTGATGGAGAACTTCAAGTGCAAGAACCTTGGGGAGGTAAAGTACTACCTCGGGATGCACGTGGAGAGGGATCTGGATCACAGGTGGTTGAAGCTGCACCAGGAGAAGTTCATCAAGGAGCTTGGGGAGAAGTACGGAATTGAGAATGAGCGCAAGGTTGCAACTCCCCTGCCAGCAGAATTCAAGCTTGTGAAAGCTGCAGAGGATGAAGGGGTTGAAGCCGAGGAGCAGCAGCAATTTCAGTCCTTGGTGGGCAGCCTCTTGTATGCAGCAGTTCACACGAGACCCGACATCTCTTTCTCGGTTGGGCAGCTGGCTAGGGTAGTGCAGAATCCATCAGAGGAGCAGGTGGATGCAGCTGAGCGTGTGGTGAAGTATCTGAACTCTCACCCAAGCATTGGAGTTCAATACTCCGCATCTGCACAGGTGAAGCAGAAAGGGGTTGAGGTGCTGAAAGAGAAGGGGGAGAGGCTTGGAGAAGGCAAGCTTTTTCTTACTTGCTTTACTGATGCTACGTGGGCCTCTGAGAAGGAGGATTCCTCATCTGTGGGAGGATACATCTGCGTAGTTGGGGGAGGACCGGTTAGTTGGAGGTCAAAGAAGCAGACGGAGACAGCACTCTCTTCCGTGGAATCAGAGTACATGGCGATGTTCCATGGGGTGAAGGAGGTGATTTGGCTGAGGAGGCTGTTGGAGGAGATTGGCCAGGAGCAAAAGGTTGCTACGCCGCTGTTTTGTGATAGCAAGGGAGCTCTTGGGATGGCCAGGAACGCTGTGCTTCATGGGCTGAACAAGCACATGCGTATCAAGTGGCACTGGCTGCGTAAGGAGGTGAAGAGGGGGACGGTGAATCCGATCTACATCAAGACTCACCAGCAGCCAGCAGACTTCCTCACCAAGAGGCTTGCGGATGAGTCTCATTGGCGTTGTGTGCGCATGAGTGGAATGAGCATGAACTAGTATGGAATGATGGGGATGCAGCCGGCAGGCTGAGGGGGAGTGTGTTGGGTGCAAATTCACATTGCACGACATCCTGCCGTCTGTTTGTACGAGTATGCGTGTGCGAATGCATTTGCGTGTGAATGGTATGTTTGTGTGTTTGTTTGCTTTCGCAATTTTCGCTTGAAGCATTTGCAGGTACTCGCACAATGTGCGCTTCGGCATAACATTGTACGCGCTATGAACAGTACAAGCAGAAAGGACGAGCTCGCAAAGGAACCTAAGATGGAAGCTTTGCGGTTCAACTTACTTGATTGCGCAGATTCAGTTCTATCCAACTCGAAATTGTACTGTTTTGTTTGGTTGACTATAGTGTAGCAGGGCAGGCACTATAGGGGTACAATTTAGGTGAAGGTTGGATGTTGTTTGTCTGTATCTGCATGCTACAGGGCCAGGGGAAACCAGCGGAACCAGCATTTGGCTGGTTGGGCAAAGACAAAACAGGTTCTGTTTTTAGGACCTGAACCTGGTTGTTGTTTTCCCAGGTTGGAAAAACAGAACCAGAGGTTGTTCACCAACCTATCACCTGCTATTTTGTCCAGCCAGGTTGGTTCTGTTGCTTGGAATTATTTGGGATGATCCCTGGTTGTTCTCAGGTTCATTCCCAAGGTCCTTGCTAGCTAGAACTATTTATTCCTTCTCTGTTTGTACCTGGATATAGTAAAATTGACTCAAACGAATTCCTTCCTTGCTGGAATTTCTTTTCTACGCGGTGCGACGGCGGAATGCTACCCGAGTCAACGCTAGTACGCTAGCACTCCAACGCTAGGCTAACGCTGTCCGAGCCATAACTTCGTAATGGCAGAACTTTTCGCGAGGCAACTTGGCTTATTTTAAAGCTCTTAGAGTGAGCTTCGATATAGGAAATTCTCAGCTTAATCCGATCGACGGTCTGCACGATACGCTGCGCGACGTTCAAGGTACTCTTGCTGTTTTGACTAAGTCCCTCTTGATCCCTCTCTCTACAAACTCGGACCCGAGGATAGGGGCTGGTCTTGTACCAGGCACCCAAGGACCCTTGGAGGTGACCCCGAGGAGAGGTTTTAAGTGTGATAAAGTCTTAATAGCTTGAGTTTATTAGGCCCTTACACCAACACCATGCAGCCGAAACATTTTTGTGCTGCCTTGTTTTCCTGTCCACAGCAGGTGCGGTGATGCGTTGTTCGGGAGCGATGATGACGAGAGCAAGTTGTGCAGCATGACAGCGTGGTCCATTGCTTCAGGCCATTGGTGGTTGGGTAGCCGCATGCCACGTAGCAGCTTGCGCATGGTGTTCTGGAGAGTCCTGTTCATCCTTTCTGCTACGCCTTGCTGTTGGTGGGCGTAGGGAAGAGAGATGAGCCGCTTGATTCCTCTCTCTGCCAAGTACTACTTGAACCTCTATGAGGTGTATTCTCCCCCCTCGTCAGACTGGAAGCTCTTTAGCTTAACTCCTAATTCCCGTTCTGCTACTGGGAGCCAGGCAACGAAGGCCATGTCGCGGCTTGGAAGGTTGAGATGCCAGACATAGCGAGTGGCGGCGTCGATGAACGTGATGGTGTAGCTGTATGCTTCTTGTATAGGTTCGCAATTGTACAGGATGTTGCTGTACACTTTCTCTCAAACTCATATGCTATAGTCTGTGTAGGTTGTAGTGTCAGAACATTATAGCTTATGCTTTTGTGTAGGCTGTAGTGGGGTAGCCCATATAGGGTACAACCCAATTAGGGTTAGTACTTGTACCCAACTGTTTCATAGTTCATTCATTCTCGTTTCAATTCTCACATGGTATCGAGCGGGTTCCCTCGTGGGAACTGTTCCTAGGGCCCACCAATTCGACATTTTTTTTCCTGCCCGGAGCGCGCTCAGCCCTAGCCCGAGTCGCGCTCCCCCTTTTCTCCACCCGTCGCGCCGCCCTAGCGGCCCCGTCACCTGCCTTGCGGCCCTCGCGCCGCCCTTCCTGGCCCTGACCCGCCGCCCTGCGGCCTCGTCCCCTACCCCGCGGCCATCGCGCCGCCCTTTCCCGGCCCCGATCCGCCGCCCTGCGGCCCCATCGCCTACCCAGCGGCCCTCGCGCCGCCCTGCGGCCCTAACGCCGCCCTTACCGGCCCCGGCGCCTACCTGCGGCCCCGCCTCCTACCTGCGGCCCCGCCACCTACCAGCGGCCCTGCCACCTACCTGCGGCCCCGCCACCTACCAGCAGCCCCGCCACCTACCTGCAGCCCCGCCACCTACCCGCGGCCCCGCCACCTACCTGTGCGGCCCCGGCGCCTACCTGCTGGCCCCGCCAACTACCTGCGGCCCCGCCACCTACCAGCGGCCCCGCCACCTACCTGCGGCCCCGCCACCTACCCGCGGCCCCGCCACCTACCTGTGCGGCCCCGGCGCCAACCTGCTGGCTCCGCCACCTACCTGCGGCCCCGCCACCTACCAGCGGCCCCGCACCTTCCTGCGGCCCCGCCACCTACCCGCGGCCCCGCCACCTACCTGTGCGGCCCCGGCGCCTACCTGCGGCCCCGCCACCTAGCTGCGGCCCCGCAACCTACCACCGGCCCCGCCACCTACCTTTGCGGCCCCGCCGCCTCCTCTCAGCGGCCCCGCCGCCTCCTCCCAGCGGCCCCGGACGCTGCCCTCTCAGCGGCCCCGCCGGACCGCCCACCAGCCGAGCCGCCCAGCAGCCGAGCCCCCCAGCCGCCGAGCCGCCCAGCAACCGAGCCCCCCAGCAGCCGAGCAGCCGAGCCGCCGAGCCGCCAAGCAGCCGAGCCGCCCAGCAGCCGAGCCGCCGAGCCGCCCAGCAGTCGAGCCGCCGAGCTGCCCAGTCGCCGAGTCGCCCTGCAGCCGAGCCGCCCGAGCCGCCCTGTCCGGTAAGAGTAGCGCCTCTTTTCACAGCACTGCCCTCACCCTACTATTTGCGCTGCTAGTCTACTGCTGTCATGGCTACCCCTAGTGTCCTCGCTTTTGACGCCGAGGGTCGGGCCATTGACTTTGACGTCTGGATAGATGACCTGCAGCTTTCCTTACAGTGCGATAGGGCAGACGGTCTCTCTCTCTTTGACCTCATCTCTGGTGCCTCTCCTGCCCCTGCTGCTGATGCTGACGCCACTGTTCGCTCACAGTGGGCCACGCGCGATGCTGCTGCACGTCTTGCTGTGCGTCGCCACCTGCCTACCTCTGAGCGTGCGCACTTTAGCTAGTACAAGAGTGCTCAGACCTTGTACGCCGCTGTAGTTACACGCTACTCCTCCCCTGCCACTACTGCACTGAGCCACCTCATGCTACCGTACCTCTTTCCTGACCTTGCTGCCTTTCCCACAGTCGCTGACCTCATTACGCACCTCCGCACTAGTGACACTCGCTACCGCGCTGCGCTTCCTGCTGAGTTCTGCGCCAAGAACCCCCCCCCAATGTACATCACTCTCTACTACATAGTCACCCGCCTCCCTGACTCCCTTCGCGTAGTCAGGGACCACTTCCTCTCACTCTATCCCACCACTCTCACTGTTGACCTCCTCAAGAAGGCCCTCTTAGCAGCGGAGAAGAGCATAGTCGCTGTAGGAGCCTCTCGTGGTGACCCGCGCACCCCCATCTTTGAGGGGTGTTCCCCCTCCCCCCTTTTGCCCTCTGTTGCCTCTGCTGCTGCGGCCGACCTCGTTGGGCTTGAGTCGGTCGGTGCGGCGTCTACCCCTAGCGGGAGACGCCGCCCCGGCAAGGGCAACGGGGGCAGGGGCGCTGGAGGAGCTAGCGGGGGCGGTAGAGGCGGCGGTGGAGGCAGCAGAGGGGGTGGGGGTGGCGGTGGGGGTGGTGGCGGGGTTGGAGGTGTCGGTGGCGACAGTAGAGGCGGAGGCAGCGGCGGTGGCGGTGGGAGCGGAGGTGGCGCGGGTGGCGGCGGTGGAGGAGGCAGTGGCGGAGGAGGTGGAGCTGGTTGGGGTGGCGCTGCGTCGAGGGTCGGCTACGGTGGTGGTCAGCGCCAACAACAGCAGCAGCGCACTCGTGACATCCCCCCCCCTCTGCAGCTCCGTGAGTGGTACACTGCACTCCAGCGGGGTGGGGGTACTGGTCCGTGCACCTACGTCCTCCGCACCGGCGACCGCACGGGTGAGCAGTGTGGGGGTGCGCACCCCACCCAGCGCTGCTTTGGCCGCCTGATGGACGCTTGGCGTCACCAGTTTCCGGAGGCCACGGAGATCCCCCGCTGGGGTGAGCTGTCTAGGGCGGGCGTAGCTATCTTTGATCTTGACTTTGATGCTATTCTTGCTGCCATGTATGCTGTGACTATTAGTGATGAGGGGGACTGTTACCGGTGTTTCCCGCCTGACCCGGGCATTGAGACTGCTGCTCTAGGTGCTGGTGAGGCTGCTGCTCTAGGTGCTAGAGAGGCTGCTGCTCTAGGTGCTAGTGCGTCTGCTTCCTCCGGTACTGGTGAGTCTGCGCTCTCAGGTACTGCGTCGGCTTCGGCCTCCCACACCTTCACACTTGACTCGGGGGCTTCTCGCTCCTTCTTTCGAGACCGCACCACACTCACGCCGCTTGGTCGGCCAGTTGGTGTCTTTCTGGCAGACCCCTCTGGGGGTCCTATCCTTGCTCACTTCTCCACTGTCCTCCCGTGTCTGACGGCCCCCTCTGGCACCCTGTCTGGTCTTTACCTCCCCTCGTTCTCTACGAAATTGGTGAGTGGTGCTGACCTACAGGATGCGGGGGTTCACCAGTTCACTCCTGCGAGTCAGCGGGTGACCCACTGCACGGACGCTCGGACAGGCCGACACCTGGCCACGTTTACACGTCGGCCGAGGTCGAGCCTATACACACTGACCACTGAGTCTCCTCCTGTCACTGCGTCTGGTCAGGTAGCTGGGTCGGGTCAGGTGTTCGGCTCGGACTTTCCTGTTCTGCGTCTGCACTCTGACAGAGGCGGAGAGTTCTCCTCTGGCCTTCTGCGAGCCTAATGTTGTGCACGAGGCATCCGCCAGACCTTCACGCTTTTGGACTCTCCACTGCAAAATGGGATTGCTGAGCGCCGCATTGGCATGGTCATGGACGTCGCCCGTACGTCCATGATGCATGCGGCTGCCCCCCATTTTCTGTGGCCGTTTGCGGTTCGGTACGCGGCGCATCAGATCAACCTTCAGCCCAGGGTCTCCATGCCGGAGACCTCCCCAGCTTTGCTGTGGACGGGGAAGGTTGGCGATGCGTGTGCGTTCCGTGTCTGGGGATCTCGGGCGTTTGTCCGCGACTTGTCTGCGGACAAGCTGTCCCCTCGTGCTGCTCCTTGCGTCTTCCTGGGTTTCCCCCCTAACGCGCCAGGGTGGCACTTCTACCACCCCACCTCTCGCCGTGTTCTGTCCTCCCAAGACGTCACGTTCGACGAGTCGGTCCCCTACTACCGTCTCTTCCCCTACCGCACTCCGTCCCTCCCCCGGCCACCGCTCTTCCTTGTACCAAATCCCCCCCCGGTAGACCCCCTCCCCCCTCAGGGTCCTGCCCGTTCAGGTGTGTCCCAGGTAGACGCTGTTGAGTCTGTCGAGGTCGCTGGTGACTCTGGTGCTGTTGAGGGTGCTGAGCCTGGGGGTGCTGACTCTGGGGGTGCTGAGCGTGTGGGTGCGACGACTGGGGGTGCTGAGCCTGGGGGTGCTGAGTCTGGGGGTGCTAAGCCTGGGGGTGCTACGCCTGGGAGTGCTGAGCCTGGGGGTGCTGAGCCTGGGGGTGCTACGCCTGGAGGTGCTGAGCCTGGGGGTGCTACGCCTGGAGGTACTGAGCCTGGGGGTGCGGAGCCTGAGGGAGCTGGGCCTGCTGGTGCTGTGCCTGGCGGTTCTCCGGGTGCTTCGTCTCGCCGGGAGCCACTCTCTCCACAAAAGCTGCGTGAGTGGTTTGCCCGGTGCTGGAGGCGAGGTGCTGGAGCTGGAGGTTGGTGGGTACTGGAGGTTCTGTTGCTGCTGAGGGAGCTGGTGCCACGGGTCCCGGAAATGCTTGTACTGGGAGTACTGGAGCTGCTTGGCCTGCGGGTACTTCTGGAGCTTGAGCTGCTGCGGGTGTTGGCGCGGAGGCTACTGCTGTCGGTCCTAGAGGCGGTCCTGCTGGGGGTACTACTGGTGCTTCTGGAGGTACTGGAGCTGGAGCTACTACTGGTGCTGATGCTGTCCCCGCTGTGTCTGGAGTCGCCGCGCGGCCTCGGCCGTACTTCGTTCCGCTCCTTCAGCAGGTTCTTAGTTTTCCGTCTTCTACTGGTCCTCCTCCTCCCTTAGAGTGTCCACAGCCTGTCCCGTCGCAGTTACAGTTACAACCGGCCTCCCCACTGCCTGCTCCGTCTCCCTACACTGGTCCTACTAGAGGTCTTGCTGAGCGTCGTGAGTCTGCGTCCACTGCTCCTCTGCGTGCCCCTTTGCCTTCTCCTCCAGAGTCTTCTCTTCCTGCTCTTGCCGACCCGGAGTCGGACTCTCTTCATGCTGCTTGTCCTACTGTCACGCGTCTCCTTGCTACTCTCGTCACTGACTCTTCTTTTGAGTCCACTGCTGCGTCTGCCCTAGTTGCCGAGCTCGTTGAGTTTGCTGCTTGCTGTCGTCTAGACTACGCTGCTAGTCTTGTCGCTGAGTCTGAGTCTGTCTGTCCTCCGTCCGTCGGGGGTGAGTGTGCCCTTGGCACGCACGTCCTTGAGGACAGGCAGGAGGAGTTCCAGTGCGTGGCTGCTGCTTCACCTCATCTCGTGTCCGTACTGCTTACCCCTGAGGGAGACCCGGATGCACTTGACATCCCGACTCCGCGCTCTTACGCGGAGGCGATAGAGGGTCACTACTCCTCTCAGTGGCAGGCAGCTATGGACGCAGAGATGGCTTCTTGACTACAGAAACACCTACGTTGACGAGGTTCCCCCACCTGGGGCGAACATCGTCAGTGGCATGTGGATTTTCAGGGTGAAGCGGCCGCCGGGTTCTCCGCTTGTCTTCATGGCGCGGTACGTGGCTCGTGGCTTCAGTCAGCGGCAGGGATTTGACTACTTTCAGACCTTCTCTCCCACCCCGAAGATGACTACTCTTTGGGTGCTGCTGCACATAGCCGCTCAGCGCGACTACGAGCTTCATTCTCTTGACTTCAGCACTACTTTCTTGCACGGTAGCCTGCACGAGGAGATCTGACTGCGCCGCCCACTTGGCTTCACTGGGACTTTTCCTCCTGGCACCCAGTGGAGCCTCCGGCGGCCAGTCTACGGTATCCGCCAGGCACCGCGTGAGTGGCACGACACACTGAGGATACGCTTGCGGCTCTTGGGTTTGCTCCCTCTACTGCTGACCCGTCACCGACACTTCTTTGCCGCCGTTCTACATCCTCTTGTACGTCAAGGACTTGGTCTTTGCCACAGCTGACACTGCTGGACTCGCCCACGTGAAGTCCGAGCTGCAGAAGAGACACACGGGCACAGACCTGGGTGAACTGCGCAGCTACCTTGGCTTGCTGATCACCCGGGACAGAGCACAGCGCACCATTACCCTGACTCAGTCACACATGGTGCAGTGTTGGTGTAAGGGCCTAATAAACTCAAGCTATTAAGACTTTATCACACTTAAAACCTCTCCTCGGGGTCACCTCCAAGGGTCCTTGGGTGCCTGGTACAAGACCAGCCCCTATCCTCGGGTCCGAGTTTGTAGAGAGAGGGATCAAGAGGGACTTAGTCAAAACAGCAAGAGTACCTTGAACGTCGCGCAGCGTATCGTGCAGACCGTCGATCGGATTAAGCTGAGAATTTTCTATTTCGAAGCTCACTCTAAGAGCTTTAAAATAAGCCAAGTTGCCTCGCGAAAAGTTCTGCCATTACGAAGTTATGGCTCGGACAGCGTTAGCCTAGCGTTGGAGTGCTAGCGTACTAGCGTTGACTCGGGTAGCATTCCGCCGTCGCACCGCGTAGAAAAGAAATTCCAGCAAGGAAGGAATTCGCTTGAGTCAATTTCACTATGTTCAGGTACAAACAGAGAAGGAATAAATAGCTCTAGCTAGCAAGGACCTTGGGAATCAACCTGGGAAGAACCAGGGATGAGCCCAAATAATTCCAAGCAACAGAACCAACCTGGCTGGACAAAACAGCAGGTGGTAGGTTGGTAAACAACCTCTGGTTCTGTTTTTCCAACCTGGGTAAACAACAACCAGGTTCAGGTCCTAAAAACAGAACCTGTTTTGTCTTTGCCCAACCAGCCAAATGCTGGTTCCGCTGGTTTCCCCTGGCCCTGTAGCATGCAGATACAGACAAACAACATCCAACCTTCACCTAAATTGTACCCCTATAATGCCTGCCCTGCTACACTATAGTCAACCAAACAAAACAGTACAATTTCGAGTTGGATAGAACTGAATCTGCGCAATCAAGTAAGTTGAACCGCAAAGCTTCCATCTTGGGTTCCTTTGCGAGCTCGTCCTTTCTGCTTGTACTGTTCATAGCGCGTACAATGTTATGCCGAAGCGCACATTTTGCGAGTACCTGCAAATGCTTCAAGCGAAAATTGCGAAAGCAAACAAACACACAAACACACCATTCACACGCAAATGCATTCGCACACACATACTCGTACAAACAGACGGCAGGATGTCGTGCAATGTGAATTTGCACCCAACACACTCCCCCTCAGCCTGCCGGCTGCATCCCCATCATTCCATACTAGTTCATGCTCATTCCACTCATGCGCACACAACGCCAATGAGACTCATCCGCAAGCCTCTTGGTGAGGAAGTCTGCTGGCTGCTGGTGAGTCTTGATGTAGATCGGATTCACCGTCCCCCTCTTCACCTCCTTACGCAGCCAGTGCCACTTGATACGCATGTGCTTATTCAGCCCATGAAGCACAGCGTTCCTGGCCATCCCAAGAGCTCCCTTGCTATCACAAAACAGCGGCGTAGCAACCTTTTGCTCCTGGCCAATCTCCTCCAACAGCCTCCTCAGCCAAATCACCTCCTTCACCCCATGGAACATCGCCATGTACTCTGATTCCACGGAAGAGAGTGCTGTCTCCGTCTGCTTCTTTGACCTCCAACTAACCGGTCCTCCCCCAACTACGCAGATGTATCCTCCCACAGATGAGGAATCCTCCTTCTCAGAGGCCCACGTAGCATCAGTAAAGCAAGTGAGAAAAAAGCTTGCCTTCTCCAAGCCTCTCCCCCTTCTCTTTCAGCACCTCAACCCCTTTCTGCTTCACCTGTGCAGATGCGGAGTATTGAACTCCAATGCTTGGGTGAGAGTTCAGATACTTCACCACACGCTCAGCTGCATCCACCTGCTCCTCTGATGGATTCTGCACTACCCTAGCCAGCTGCCCAACCGAGAAAGAGATGTCGGGTCTCGTGTGAACTGCTGCATACAAGAGGCTGCCCACCAAGGACTGAAATTGCTGCTGCTCCTCGGCTTCAACCCCTTCATCCTCTGCAGCTTTCACAAGCTTGAATTCTGCTGGCAGGGGAGTTGCAACCTTGCGCTCATTCTCAATTCCATACTTCTCCCCAAGCTCCTTGATGAACTTCTCCTGGTGCAGCTTCAACCACCTGTGATCCAGATCCCTCTCCACGTGCATCCCGAGGTAGTACTTTACCTCCCCAAGGTTCTTGCACTTGAAGTTCTCCATCAGCTGCTGCTGCACCTTCTGGATCTCCTTCATGCTGCTGCTAAAGAGAAGAATGTCGTCCACATAGACCAGAAACAGCACCAGCTTCTCCCCCTCCCCCTTGAGAAAGAGGCTCTCATCACAGCTGCTGGTCCTGAATCCCATCTCCTCTAAAACAGCTGCCAACTTCTGGTACCAGCAGCGTGGCGCCTGCTTCAAGCCGTAGATGGACTTTTTCAGCTTGCACACCCTGCCCGTACCATCCTCATACCCAGGTGGCTGCGTCATGAACACCTCCTCCTCTAAAATCCCGTTGAGAAATGCCGTTGATATGTCCATCTGGATAATGAACTTCCCGCTAACGGCTGCATCTGCCAACAAGACACGAAGGGTAGGGGGTTTGGCAGTGGGAGCAAAGATCTCATTGAAGTCCCGCTTCTCCTTCTGCATAAACCCCTTAGCCACCAACCTACTCTTGTAGATGGTGACCTGCCCCTTGTCGTCAGTCTTGATCCTTAGCACCCACTTGCATTGTACCGCTTTCTTTCCCTCAGGCAGCACCACTAGTTCCCAAGTCCCATTCTCCAGCAGGCTCTGGTACTCAGCATCCCTAGAAGCTAGCCATTTGTCCCTATCTGGTCCAGCTAATGCCTCCTCCATGCTAGCTGGTTCCTCTGGTGCAGGGGCAAGAAAACAGTACGCAGGTTTATCCTCCTCATCCGGGTCATAGCCATGCGGTAGAATCAGCAATGCCTCCTCGGTCCCAAGCTGCTGCTCCGCTACATCAGCTCCTGCAGTCAGCTTCTTAGTAGCCATACGGGTACGTCCTGGCCTGGAGACGGGTGTCTCCCATCCCTTCATAACGACACCCTTCGGCTTCTTAGTTTTCCCCTGCTGCTGCTCTCCTCCCTCGGATCCAGCAGCTCC